GTAGTCGGCCCAGGCTGGCGGCGGCTCGCAAGGATCCTGGGTGCAGAGGCCCCCAAGGATGCTGGGGGCAGAGGCCCCCAAGGATGCTGGGGGCAGAGGCCTCCCAAGGATCCTGGGTGCAGAGGCCTCCCAAGGATGCTGGGTGCAGAGGCCCCCAAGGATCCTGGGTGCAGAGGCCCCCAAGGATGCTGGGTGCAGAGGCCCCCAAGGATGCTGGGTGCAGAGGCCCCCCAGGATGCTGGGTGCAGAGGCCCCCCAGGATGCTGGGTGCAGAGGCCCCCCAGGATCCTGGGGGCAGAGGCCCCGACCAGCCCGGGCCCGAGGCGGCGGGGACCGGCGCCCTCGGCCCTCCCCCGACAGCACCAGTTTCCCCGGCTGTGGGGCTGGGAGTAGGGCTGGGCGCGCCCGAGGCGTCCCTCGTCCCCGGCTCCTGCCAGCGCGCCCCTGCCCCTCTCCCTCTGGGTGTGGGCCCCTGCGACCTGCCCTGCCTGGCGGAAGCCGGCTCGAGCTCCACGCACACCCGCCCCCTCGGCGCCGGCCTCGGTGATCCTGGCTCGGCCCTCGGGCTGTGAGCTCGCCTAGCCCTGAAGCGGGCCCGCGCTGTGGCCCGTGACACCGGGCCGGGCGAGGCGTCCTCCGAATTAAACGCCGGGGAACGGCATGTGGGCCCCGCGGGCCTTAGCCCCGCGACACTGAGGGAGCCTTTGCTCCGCCCCCGCCGCCAGAGGGTCCCGCTGCTGTGGTGAGGGGCACCGGGCCTGGTGCGGGGCGCGTGCGTGTGACCCTGAGACTGGCCGGGGGACCAAAGGTTCAGAGCGGAAGCAGAGGCTGCGAGTGTAGACAGCTCCCTAGGGACTCTGCTTGCAGGGCTTCAGAGAAGGGAAGCAGGGCTGGGGGCTCTCTTGTGCTCCGAGCAGCGACTTTTCCCTGACGAAGGAAGGGCCCGCAGGCAGGGTCCTCGCAGGCTTCCACTCAGGGGAGGGGCCGGAGCGATGCTGAGCGAGCACAGGGAGTGGGCTCCCAAGAGCAGGGCAGGGGTGCTCTTGGCGGGGGCTGCGCACCCCTGAAGCAGGAGGAAGGCAGAAGATCTGGTGCCCAGAAGGCAGGACCGCAGGCGGGGAAAGGAGCCAGCACCAGGCAGCTTGGGTCCTCTCAGGCGTGTCTCTGAGGCTGGGCATGTGTCCTGAAGGCCCTGGGAGATGCTGGAGGTTGAGTTTGTGCACCTGAAGGAAGGACAGGGGGGCACTACCCCGAGTGGAGGGCGTGGCCTCTGGGTGGGGTGCAGGACAGGGGAAGTGGCCCAGGCCCGGTCCTGATGGCGATGAGAGGGGCCACCACACGTGGCTGTCCGTGAGGTGTCCGGGTCTGGGCTGGGTGCCCTGGGTGCCTCGTGTGCCATCCTCACAGCCATGTGGACACGGAGGCTTCTCGAGATGCTGTGACGGGGCTCAGGTTCCAGCTTCAGGCTCATGCCCCTGCCTGCCTGGGGCTGTTGCTCCTGCATGCAGCACAGCGCTGTGCTCCAGCCAGGAGGAGGAGACGCCCTCCCCAGGTACACGAAAGGGGGTAAACACCGGGTTAGGGGTGCAGGAGGTCAGGGCCCATGTCACCTCATCACTCGGCGCCTGGTCCTCCTCACCGTAGAGTGGGCCTCACGGTAGCACGAGCCCTGCCGAGTCCTGTAGGGATTCAATTCCCCGATTCAGAATTGAGCCCCTACCAGTGCCGGGCCCATGTTCTGACTCTCACGCCTTATTTTTGGGGGCTCAGGTGGAGGGCATGTGCTGACAGCGGAGAGAGCCGGGTGGGATGGGTTGGGACACAGACAGAGGGATGTGGGGGAGACACCTGAGGGGGCCTATCCGAGGTCACAGGGTGTTCTGAGAGCAGGCCTGAGGTTGGGTAGCAAGGATTTGGGCTCAGCCAGCCTGGGGCAGGGGCCAGAAAGATCACGGTCTGCAGTGCCGTGGCGGTGGCAGGGCCAGGGATCTGAGAGTGTTGGTGGGAGCGGGGAAGGTAAAGGACAAGAAGGAGCACCTGGGACTGCCCCCCTGTGCTGGAAGAGGGCGAATGCCAGGCCAGCTCTCCACTCTCATCTGGCCGAGGGGCTCTCTCTTGCCGGCTCTCATGAGGCCGAGGGGGCTCTCCTATGCCGGCCCTCCACTCTCATCAGGCCGAGGGGGCTTTCACTGGCCGGCCTTCCACTCTCATCAGCCCGGGGGCTCTCCCGGGCCAGCTCTCCACTCTCATCCGGCCGAGGGGCTCTCCCCGGCTGCCCCTCCACTCTCATGAAGCCGAGGGAGCTCTCCCAGGCCAGCTCTCCACTCTCATCCGGCCGAGGGGGCTCTCCCTGGCCGGCTCTCATGAGGCCGAGGGGGCTTTCACTGGCCGACCTTCCACTCTCATCAGCCCGGGGGCTCTCCCGGGCCTGCTCTCCACTCTCATCAGGCCAAGGGGGCTCTCCCCGGCTGCCCCTCCACTCTCATGAGGCCGAGGGGGCTCTCCTATGCCAGCCCTCCACTCTCATCAGGCCGAGGGGGCTTTCACTGGCCGACCTTCCACTCTCATCAGCCCGGGGGCTCTCCCAGGCCAGCTCTCCACTCTCATCCGGCCAAGGGGCTCTCCCCAGCTACCCCTCCACTCTCATCAGGTCGAGGGGGCTCTCCCAGGCCTGCCCTCCGATCTCATCTGACCGAGAGGGCTCTCCCTGGCTGGCTGTCCACTCTGTTGAGGCTGAGGGGGCTCTCTCAGGCCGGCTCGCCAATCTCATGAGGCCAAGGGGGCTCTCCTTTGCCGGCCTTCCACTCATCGGAGAGAGGGGGCTCTCCCACGCCCGCCCTAACTCTCACGAGGCCGAGGGGGCTCGCCCAGGCCGGCCCTCCACTCTCATCAGGCCGAGGGGCTCTCACTCCTCTGTGTTCCCCTAGGGCTTGCTGACCTCTGCCTAAGCACCGGCCACGCTCTGTCCTGCCGGTGCCTTTGGCTCTCTGCCGCCACCCTCCTCCGTGAGCTCCCCCAGACTCCACAGGATGGACCTGAGTCAGGCCAATCCCAACCCCTTCCCGTGGGCCTGCCCCGGTGCTGGACATCGGTGACCGCGTGGTGACAGGGGGACATCGGTGACCGCGTGGTGACAGGGGCAGCTGAGCACCGAGCTCGCTGGGTTTCGGGCACATGGGGGACGGTCCGGCCCGCCGTCGGTGAGCTGGGAGAGCGGGTGGTGACGCGCCCCGCTGTTCTTCCGCAGGCCACCCGCGGCCCAGGGATCCCCAGAGATGAAGTTTGGCTGCCTCTCCTTCAGGCAGCCTTATGCTGGCTTTGTCTTAAACGGAGTCAAGACCGTGGAGACGCGCTGGCGGCCCCTGCTGAGCAGCCACCGCAACTGCACCGTCGCCATCCACATAGCTCACAGGGACTGGGAGGACGACACCTGGCGGGAGCTGCTGGTGGACAGGCTGGGGATGACTCCCGCCCAGGTGCAGGCCCTGCTTCGGGAAGGGGAGAAGTTTGGCCGGGGAGTGATAGCTGGTAAGTGACCCCGGGCCAAGCGTGCGCAGACCGCTCCGAGCGCTGCCACCCAGGACCTTTCAGGGCGGTTTGGGGCCTTCTGGTGTCGTCTGATCTGGCTGGTGGGCTTGCTGCCGCTTCCCGACGCCACACACCTAAAGGGGCTGCCAGGGGCCCCGCGTGGCGGATCAGCGGGCTGAGATCCCCCCTCCCCAGTAAATCCGGTCTTCCCCCGGGTCTGTTTCCGTTTGCCATCGGAGAGCCTGGGTCAGGCCCGTGTGTGCCTGTGGGGTCAGCGTGTGTATGCATGCACCTGGGTGCATATGCCCATGCACGCGTGCACATGGAAGAGACCAGGCGTGGCAGCACAGCACCCCGAGAGGGTCAGGGGGCCTCTGGCGTCAGGCTGCCTGCCTGGTCTCGCAGGCCCGCCCCAGCCCCACCGCTCGCAGGCCCTGGGCGAGTCCCCCAGCCTCTGGGTGCTTGAGGTCCCACTTCAGCTGCTGTCACCTGGTGAACTGCTAAGGCGTCGCCTGTGGCTTCCCTGGCAGTGGCTGGGGTCCGTCCTTCCACTCCGTAACCGCTGCCCTCAGCAGTCTGCTGGGGCCCGCCCATGAGTCCATGTACCGCTTCTCTCCTGATCCTTGCTGGGGCCCTCCCCCGGCCTCATCCAGGATGCCCTGAGTAGAGCGCGGCTCGTCATCAGTGCTCAGCTAAGAGGACTTGACTCGCTTCCTGTCCTTCTGGTGATGTCATCTTCGTCGGTAGCGGTTGAGACTTTGAATGACCACGGCGCCACACAGGCAGCCCTTGGGGTATGGAAGGGAGCGACATCTGTGTGTTTCTCTCTTTGTGCACAGGGCTCGTTGACATTGGGGAAACTTTACAGTGCCCTGAAAACTTGAGTCCCGACGAGGTTGTGGACCTGGAGAATCAAGCCGTGCTGAGCGACCTGAAGCAGAAGTACCTGACCGCGATTTCCAACCCCAGGTGGTTACTGGAGCCCATACCTAGGAAAGGAGGAAAGGACGTATTCCAGGTAGACATCCCAGAGCACCTGATCCCTTTGGGGCGTGAGGTGTAACGAGTGTGGGCTCCTGAGAGGAACGTTGCTGAGAAGCCAGCTAAATCATGATACCTTCAACATCACTATTCAGACCTATATACGCTGGGCTAAGTCGGCATTGCCACCGCATGGGAGGGCGCCACCCCCTCGGTGCTGTTCACACATGCAGGTTTCCTCACTCAGATGAAGGGAATAAAGGTGGGACTTTCCCTGTGCCATGTGTCTTTGGGCTCATGGACAATGTCTCATGTACGTTGCCCTTTTGCTAAA